CTACTGTTCTTGCCATAGAGAAGCCTAAGTGCTATGGATTGATATTTTGATCCCCAAAGTATGTGTTAGAATCCTAAGCCCTATACTTGTGAATATAATCTAATATAATGTAATCATCTTCCATAAAGCAATCTAATGTAATAAAATCAATTGGTTGATGTGGTATAGTGAATTGTAGGGCTTTTCTACCCAGTCTTTCTAACTCCTGCCAGATTACTGGGTGAGACCATGCAAATAAGGTATGTAGAACTCTGATGTTGGGATTGGTTAGTTTTCTCACTCTGCCAGGCTTAAAAATGAGCCTTCCTCGAGACAGAAAGGGGATCTCACTACTGTCAAGAGAGAAGAGCTGGAGGTGAAGTAGAGTGCATCCTTGGACCCGAGATCCCTGCATTGGACCTCCTTGGCAGAGACACCCTGGCAGAGAGAGACGGTTACAGTGGAACCAAGAGGCATGAGACAGAGTGGCAGGTTTACCTGGCCCACAGAGCAAGAAAGCTGAGTGCCCTTGGGCAAGAGGCTTGCTGACAATGGGGCGTACACCTAGTTGTACCTATTGACAGAACTACAGGAGCTTTGTAACACTTTCCCAAGCAGAGCAGAGCCCAGGCTGAGAAACCAAGGGTCAGAGAGGCATGTCTGAGGGCACAGCAGAGGGGAGACTGTTCTGATTGAAGAACTGTATCCTGAGCGTGTTTCTGAACCTGAATTGTAGCCTATTACTTCCCTATTAAACTCCATAATTGTGAGGATTGTCTGTGAATTGTGTGTGGCCACTGTAACAAATTATTGAACCCAGCAGAGAAATTGTGAATGCCGTGGGAGTGATGGTTGGTATCAGAATTGGTAAAAGGCTGGAGGGTGGCAGCATGTCTGGACTCATAGGAACAAGTCTTGGGCTGCTGCTGATGTCTTCCTCTTGTTAGAGGAGGTCAGAAGATGCTACCTCCACAACATTTTTGCAGTTGACGTCATACTAATATAGGGTAGACTCTAAACCTAATCAGTTGAGTTACATAAAGAACAGCACAGACACGACAATGGGCTCAAATACATCCATATCAAAGGTCATGGAGATGGCACAATTCAGTTTTATTGTTATACATAAGCTCACCGTGAGTAAGAGCTGACTAAACAACATAGACACTGAGACAAGCAAGCACAAGCACAGGGGCAAAACAGATGCTGATAACAACAGAGGCAGATGAATCTGTAAGTCTAGGAACTCCAAGGATTGCCGGTTACTAGAAGCTAAAACAGACAAAGAAGGACCTTCACCTTAGAGCCATACCCTGAATTCAGATTTCTAGCCTCCTGAACTCTGAGAAAAAAAATTTCTGTTCTTTAAAACCACCCATTTGTAGTTGTGTTACAGCAGCACTAGGAAACTAAGACAGTAAGATAAGCCAGGTTTTTTCCTTCTGTTTATCAAATGTATCCAGGAACCTAAAGATACCATCATCTGATTAAAGCTATGTATTTGGGGCAAACACTTAATCACCAAGGGACTTTTTCCATATAGGATGACCAAATTAGACACAAGCTAATTTGCAAGGATCCTATTTCTCATGTAGCATAGGATCAAGAAGACTGGCATTCTAATCTAACAAACCACTGAAAAGCCCTTGTAGAGGAAATGACTTAGACTTTAAATACACTCATGATGACTTCAGATCTGCTGAGAGAGAAAAAAGAAGTATAGTATCCCACATCTATACTAATTTCTCACACTCTTGACATTTAGTAGTACTCTTGGGTTCACCTATACAAATTCTCACATTATAGTTGATTTATATTTTAGAATTGAAACCAGATGCCTAAAGGCATAAATGAGTAGCAGAAAATAGTGTTCTTCACAGCTTCTTACAAACTAAATGCCTTATAATTACTTATTATAATTATAGTTTGCCCTAGAAATTGAAAGGAGCTCTGGTGGCAAAGTAGTTTAGGCATTCGGCTGCTAACCAAAAGGTCAAATAAAACGGTTCAAACCCACCAGCTGCTCCATGGCAGAAAGATGACGCAGTCTTCTTCTACAAAGATTTACAGCCTTGGAAACCCTATGGGGGCAATTCTACTCTGTCCTACAGGGTTGCAGTGAGGCAGAATTGACTAGATGGCAGTGAGCTTTCTAGAAGTTGCTAAAATACAAAAAGAACCTTAGAGTATTTGCCCCTACTTTTGTTCATTTCAGTCAAAGCTTACTAAACTTTTATCAAACTGTTTTTCTGAAACCATGTAAGACATTTTCTCAAAAGACTAGAAATGTTTTTAAAATGAACATTCAAGCTTAAAAACATACCCCAGAGAAAGCTTAAAAACCTAAATAGGTCTCTGTGGGCTTCCTATGCACACAGAAAAGACACATTCAGAAGGCTCTATCCAAAACAGAAACTTGCTTAGTCATGTTAAGCTCAGCTGCCAAGGTTTCCCCTAATAAACTTTTTTTTTTTTTTGACAGTATCTTTTTTTTTTTTTGTGATTTGGGTGAAAATTTACAGAAAAAATTCACTTTCCATACAGCAGTTCACATACACTTTGTCTTATGACATTGACTATAATTTACCCCAATGCAACAGTTCCCCTCCCACTTCCTCCCAATAGTTACCTCTTCCCTATGTCCATCCCTCCATGCACCCCTGCCCCCAAGTTGTCTCCCTGTGCATTAACAGCCCTTCTTTCTCTTATAATTGTTCTTTTCAGGGAGTGTATCTATCTCAGGTAAATGTTCACTCATATGCCTGTCTTTGTTTGGCTGGAAGCCACAGGTGTGGGTTCAGTTCCAAACCTGAAGGGCAGCTAGGAGCCATAGTCTCAGGGGTTGCATCAGGCTCCATCAGACCAGAAAACCTGGTTCCGTTTTTTTTTTTTTTTTTTTTTGTTTTTGGGTTTTTTTCCACTTTGTTCTACCACTATATCCAGGATCTCCTACATAGATCTCCCTCTGAGTGGTTGACAGTGGTAGACAGGCACCATCTAGTTCTTCTGGTCTCATAGTTGTATAGGCTACAACTACACATGGTGTACCAGTTGCTAGGACTAATTGTTTCCATGAATCTGGTTTTCTTCTTTCTTCTTTGCTCTGGACGAGGAGAGATTCATCATTGCATCTAGATGGCTATTTGCAAGCTTTTAAGATCCCAGTCACTACTCACCAAAGTAGGAGGTGGAACAATGTTTTGTATCGTATGTTATGCCAATTGAGCCTGATGTCCCCTGCAACTATGGTCCCAAGACCACAGGTTCAACTACTCGGTCCCTCTGGGTAGCTGGCTGTGACCAAGAAGTGACTACAATCTTGTCACTTGTCAACTCTACTATACAACTGGGAATTCTTACAGATCATACAAATACTTACAGGACCACTGTCTGCCAAGCCTATACATGGTCCCTAACAAACTTTAAGATGGCAGAGTTTAGTAACAAACCTGAGCCATAGAATTCTCTGGGCTTAAAAGTCAGACAAAGGATCATCTCTCGGGTACAATCTCTATTTCTAACCCTGTTTACTTAGACAAGGTGGTTTCCTTGCCTAAATTAGCGCCTCTTCAGAGTATTCATAAGTTTCTAGGAAAAGAAGTAATCCATCCACCTATTGCCATTTCAGTTCTAAATAAAAATCTTTAAAATCAGACACATACCTAACAGTTATTATTTTTTAGTGGAATAGATGTTAAGCCCATTTTTCACACTGGCATGGGGGTTTTGTTTAAGACTGATGAAGCAAAACTGGAATGGATTGAAATTTGCAAAATGTGGGTGCCTGGAACTTGAAAAAGTATAGGTCAAGTCCTAGAATGGGAGACTAAGAAGAGGAGTATTAAGTAAAAGTCTCTACAGTCCTGGCAATAATGCAATCTCCTGCATCAAGGAATTTGATGCAGGAGATTGGATTACTCTCAGGACTGTAGAGGCTTTTTTGTATTATTGCCAGGGCTTTATAGCCAAAGTGATGCAGTCAGCCACCATGTTTGAGCTGGGCACTGCTGTTTCAGACTCTGCCATTCAAGAGATTTGATTCCTATGCAATGAAATCACTGCTCTTGTTTTCTAAGAATAAAATTAAGTTTCCAGCAAGGCATCACCTCTTACTTTTCCCATTCCAGTTATTGTTTCAGGCACTCCGTATTTGCAAATTTCAGTCCATAGTGGTTTCACTTCGTTGGACGTGACTTAACTAAGATGAACCGGCTCAAAGTCCTGCTTAAAACTTACCATTTATCACATAAAGTGTTATTAATGTAAAAAATTAGTTAAGTTGTGCTGCTTATTAATCAACAAAAGCTCTGTAAGTGTTAGATTTACTGAAGTTCTTCATAAGAGCAGTTTACTATTGTGGTAGTTAAGGTTATGTGTCAACTTGGCTGGGCCTGGTTTTGAATGGCTGGGCAGCTGGATGTATTTATTCTCCATGATGAGACTGGTAATCAACTGCATGGTGGAATCTACTGGAGCACCTGAGTAGCTGCCTTAGGGATATGGTCTGCTTCTAGTATTAAAGAAGAAAGCTTTGAGAAAGGTGTCTGAGCTTTTTGGCACGCTAGGACCCTGCAATGTAGCTGAGTCTTCCTTCATTCAGCAATCTGCCATGTTTCCTGCTGATCTTGGGATTGTCTCTGGACTTGAACTAGTGGCCTGTCATGTTGTTTGGTAATCTTGGGACTGTGACATTTTATTTGTCAACTTTGGGTTTGTCAGCCTCAGCAGCCAGCAGCTACATGAGTTAAGAGATGCCTCTAGGAGCAAGAGTCAGAGCTGAAAACCAAGGTTGAGGGGCTTTCACCCAGCTGGCACTTTGAACTTGGACTCCTAAACTGTAAGAGAATAAAATCCCTGTTTGTGGAAGCCATCTCCATTTATGGTATTTTTTTGTTAGCGTAGAAGACCAAAACAACTACATAAAGGTGGGGTGCCCAAAGGAACATACTCCTACAAACAAGGGAAAAGAATCTCATGTAGACAGCACACATAAGAAAGAATGAGCTGGAGAAACACAGTAAGAATGCTTCATCTCCTTTATAACAACACAAAACAGAGGAGAGAAACAGGGAACATTTTTAACTAAAAGAGTCAACAAATTTTATTTTCACGTCACAATACAAACAAAAATTATTTTTTCCACTACTCCAATGTGAAACTATTCTTTTTGATAGAAGGGAGGAGCAAGTCTTCCTTTGTCATGCTATTAGAAAACACCCAGAGTCACAGCACCATGATCTCCTGGTGAAGTAGTACAAGTAATACAAAACTGATACAAAGAGGCTGCCCTCTGTCCTTATCTGTCTGGTCGAGTCATTCCTGGCCGAGTGGGCACCATCATGGGACGGGCGGGAGGCCTCATCATTGGCGGCCCAGGCATCATTGGCATGTGGCCTCCCATGGGTGGCCTCATTCCAGGAGCTGCAAGCACATAAAAAGAAAAAGAAAACAAGGAGTCAGAAAATATCATTTAAGAGAGTGTGACGGAATTTCAATCAAAAACAAAAAAGTAGCCTCCCCAACCCCACAAAATGCTGGAAAAAGAAATATGTGACAGAAGAAATGCAACAAATTTATCCTGTCTCTAAATCACTTAGATGTTCTCAAACAAAAAACAGAGATCAGCACAAGAACCAAGAACCACATGGGATCATGACCTAATGACAATAAGGGGAACACTATTACTAGATTGCATTCCAAAAATGACAAGGGACATTAGTTCCCTAAACTGACCCTTTTTCTTACTCACATGTTTTTCAGTCAGCTTTTTTAATCAGTTACAGCTACCATATAACTGGAGCAATTTCATGAATGTACATTGGCACAGAGAACCACCTCACCACTGTTGGAGTTGTAAGAAATATGAACATAAGGTCCATGCTGAGAACCCTTCAGTAACCATACTTGGCTCAAGTCAAGAACACTAACAGGCCATAATGTGCTTTATAACAATTAGCACACAAAAACCTCATTTTTCTAATGCATTTTAGAAACTATTAATGATTTTCTAAAAAGTGTTCCACCAATATTCCAGCCAAATAAATAAGCTTGGGGAGAAGGAAGAAACAGGGCTGTGGAGGTTGGGGAGGAACACAAGCACTTCAGTGTAATTGGTAAAGTTCTGGTGACAGTGCCAAAGGCATTTGACTACTAACCAGAAGGTTGGTGGTTCAAACCCACCAGCCACTCCACGGAATGAAGACTGGGCAGTCTACTTCCGTAAAGATTTACCATTTTGGAAACCCAAAGGGGGATGCTATGAGTCAGAATCAACTAGATGGCAGTGTTGTTTTTTTTTTTTTTT